CATAACTAGAACAGAACTAGAACAGAACTAGAACAGAACTAGAACAGAACTAGAACAGAACTAGAACAGAACTAGAACTAGAACAGAACTAGAACAGAACTAGAACAGAACTAGAACAGAACTAGAACAGAACTAGAACTAGAACAGGAACTAGAAAAGAACTAGAAAAGAACTAGAACAAAACTAGAACTAGAATAGAACTAGAATAGAACTAGAACAGAATTAGAACAGAACTAGAACTGAACTAGAACTGAACTAGAACTGACTAGAACAGAACTAGAACAGAACTAGAACTGAACTAGAACTGAACTAGAACTGAACTAGAAACTGAACTAGAACTGAACTAGAACTGAACTAGAACTGAACTAGAACTGAACTAGAACAGAACTAGAACTGAACTAGGACTGAACTTGAAACTGAACTAGGACTGAACTAGAACTAGAACTGAACTAGGACTGATACTGAAACTAGAACTGAACTAGGACTGACCTAGAACTAGAACAGAACTAGAACAGAACTAGAACCAGAACTAGAACAGAACTAGAACAGAACTGGAACAGAACTAGAACAGAACTAGAACAGAACTAGAACAGAACTAGAAACAGAACTAGAACAGAACTAGAAACAGAACTAGAACAGAACTAGAACAGAACTAGAACAGAACTAGAACAGAACTAGAACAGACTAGAACAGAACTAGAACAGAACTAGAACAGAAACTAGAACAGAACTAGAACAGAACTAGAACAGAACTAGAACAGAACTAGAACAGAACTAGAACAGAACTAGAACAGAACTAGAACAGAACTAGAACAGAACTAGAACAGAACTAGAACTAGAACAGAACTAGAACAGAACTAGAACAGAACTAGAACAGAACTAGAACAGAACTAGAACAGAACTAGAACAGAACTAGAACAGAACTAGAACAGAACTAGAACAGAACTAGAACAGAACTAGAACAGAACTAGAACAGAACTAGAACAGAACTAGAACAGAACTAGAACAGAACTAGAACAGAACTAGAACAGAACTAGAACAGAACTAGAACAGAACTAGAACAGAACTAGAACAGAACTAGAACAGAACTAGAACAGAACTAGAACAGAAACTAGAACAGAACTAGAACAGAACTAGAACAGAACTAGAACAGAACTAGAACAGAACTAGAACAGAACTAGAACAGAACTAGAACAGAACTAGAACAGAACTAGAACAGAACTAGAACAGAACTAGAACAGAACTAGAACAGAACTAGAACAGAACTAGAACAGAACTAGACAGAACTAGAACAGAACTAGAACAGAACTAGAACAGAACTAGAACAGAACTAGAACAGAACTAGAACAGAACTAGAACAGAACTAGAACAGAACTAGAACAGAACTAGAACAGAACTAGAACAGAACTAGAACAGAACTACAACAGAACTAGAACAGAACTACACAGACTAACAGAACTAGAACAGAACTAGAACAGAACTAGAACAGAACTAGAACAGAACTAGAACAGAACTAGAACAGAACTAGAACAGAACTAGAAACAGAACTAGAACAGAACTAGAACAGAACTAGAACAGAACTAGAACAGAACTAGAACAGAACTAGAACAGAACTAGAACAGAACTAGAACAGAACTAGAACAGAACTAGAACAGATAGAACAGAACTAGAACAGAACTAGAACAGAACTAGAACAGAACTAGAACAGAACTAGAACAGAACTAGAACAGAACTAGAACAGAACTAAAAAACTAGAACAGAACTAGAACAACTAGACAGAACTAGAACAGAACTAGAACAGAACTAGAACAGAACTAGAACAGAACTAGAACAGAACTAGAACAGAACTAGAACAGAACTAGAACAGAACTAGAACAGAACTAGAACAGAACTAGAACAGAACTAGAACAGAACTAGAACAGAACTAGAACAGAACTAGAACAGAACTAGAACAGAACTAGAACAGAACTAGAACAGAACTAGAAAGAACTAGAACAGAACTAGAACAGAACTAGAACAGAACTAGAACAGAACTAGAACAGAACTAGAACAGAACTAGAACAGAACTAGAACAGAACTAGAACAGAACTAGAACAGAACTAGAACAGAACTAGAACAGAACTAGAACAGAACTAGAACAGAACTAGAACTGAACTAGAACAGAACTAGAACAGAACTAGAACAGAACTAGAACAGAACTAGAACAGAACTAGAACAGAACTAGAACAGAACAGAACAGAACAGAACAGAACTAGAACAGAACTAGAACAGAACTAGAACAGAACTAGAACAGAACTAGAACAGAACTAGAACAGAACTAGAACAGAACTAGACAAACAGAACTAGAACAGAACTAGAACAGAACTAGAACAGAACTAGAACAGAACTAGAACAGAACTAGAACAGAACTAGAACTGAACTAGAATGAACTAGAACTGAACTAGAACTGAACTAGAACTGAACTAGAACTGAACTAGAACTGAACTAGAACTGAACTAGAACTGAACTAGAACTGAACTAGAACTGAACTAGAACTGAACTAGAACGAACTAGAACTAGAACTGAACTAGAACTGAACTAGAACTGAACTAGAACTGAACTAGAAGAACTAGAACTGAACTAGAACTGAACTAGAACTGAACTAGAACTGAACTAGAACTGAACTAGAACTGAACTAGAACTGAACTAGACTGAACTAGAACTGAACTAGAACTGAACTAGAACTGAACTAGAACTGAACTAGAACTGAACTAGAACTGAACTAGAACTGAACTAGAACTGAACTAGAACTGAACTAGAACTGAACTAGAACTGAACTAGAACTGAACTAGAACTGAACTAGAACTGAACTAGAACTGAACTAGAAACTGAACTAGAACTGAACTAGAACTGAACTAGAACTGAACTAGAACTGAACTAGAACTGAACTAGAACTGAACTAGAACTGAACTAGAACTGAACTAGAACTGAACTAGAACTGAACTAGAACTGAACTAGAACTGAACTAGAACTGAACTAGAACTGAACTAGAACTGAACTAGAACTGAACTAGAACTGAACTAGAACTGAACTAGAACTGAACTAGAACTGAACTAGAACTGAACTAGAACTGAACTAGAACTGAACTAGAACTGAACTAGAACTGAACTAGAACTGAACTAGAACTGAACTAGAACTGAACTAGAACTGAACTAGAACTGAACTAGAACTGAACTAGAACTGAACTAGAACTGAACTAGAACTGAACTAGAACTGAACTAGAACTGAACTAGAACTGAACTAGAACTGAACTAGAACTGAACTAGAACTGAACTAGAACTGAACTAGAACTGAACTAGAACTGAACTAGAACTGAACTAGAACTGAACTAGAACTGAACTAGAACTGAACTAGAACTGAACTAGAACTGAACTAGAACTGAACTAGAACTGAACTAGAACTGAACTAGAACTGAACTAGAACTGAACTAGAACTGAACTAGAACTGAACTAGAACTGAACTAGAACTGAACTAGAACTGAACTAGAAGAAACTAGAACTGAACTGAACTAGAACTGAACTAGAACTGAACTAGAACTGAACTAGAAGAACTAAACTGAACTGAACTAGAACTGAACTAGAACTGAACTAGAACTGAACTAGAACTGAACTAGAACTGAACTAGAACTGAACTAGAACTGAACTAGAACTGAACTAGAACTGAACTAGAACTGAACTAGAACTGAACTAGAACTGAACTAGAACTGAACTAGAACTGAACTAGAACTGAACTAGAACTGAACTAGAACTGAACTAGAACTGAACTAGAACTGAACTAGAACTGAACTAGAACTGAACTAGAACTGAACTAGAACTGAACTAGAACTGAACTAGAACTGAACTAGAACTGAACTAGAACTGAACTAGAACTGAACTAGAACTGAACTAGAACTGAACTAAACTGAACTAGAACTGAACTAGAACTGAACTAGAACTGAACTAGAACTGAACTGAACTAGAACTGAACTAGAACTGAACTAGAACTGAACTAGAACTGAACTAGAACTGAACTAGAACTGAACTAGAACTGAACTAGAACTGAACTAGAACTGAACTAGAACTGAACTAGAACTGAACTAGAACTGAACTAGAACTGAACTAGAACTGAACTAGAACTGAACTAGAACTGAACTAGAACTAGAACTGAACTAGAACTGAACTAGAACTGAACTAGAACTGAACTAGAACTGAACTAGAACTGAACTAGAACTGAACTAGAACTGAACTAGAACTGAACTAGAACTGAACTAGAACTGAACTAGAACTGAACTAGAACTGAACTAGAACTGAACTAGAACTGAACTAGAACTGAACTAGAACTGAACTAGAACTGAACTAGAACTGAACTAGAACTGAACTAGAACTGAACTAGAACTGAACTAGAACTGAACTAGAACTGAACTAGAACTGAACTAGAACTGAACTAGAACTGAACTAGAACTGAACTAGAACTGAACTAGAACTGAACTAAACTGAACTAGAACTGAACTAGAACTGAACTAGAACTGAACTAGAACTGAACTAGAACTGAACTAGAACTGAACTAGAACTGAACTAGAACTGAACTAGAACTGAACTAGAACTGAACTAGAACTGAACTAGAACTGAACTAGAACTGAACTAGAACTGAACTAGAACTGAACTAGAACTGAACTAGAACTGAACTAGAACTGAACTAGAAACTGAACTAGAACTGAACTAGAACTGAACTAGAACTGAACTAGAACTGAACTAGAACTGAACTAGAACTGAACTAGAACTGAACTAGAACTGAACTAGAACTGAACTAGAACTGAACTAGAACTGAACTAGAACTGAACTAGAACTGAACTAGAACTGAACTAGAACTGAACTAGAACTGAACTAGAACTGAACTAGAACTGAACTAGAAACTGAAAGAACTGAAGAGAAAGGAACGAGAAGGAACTAGAACTGAAGAGAAGGAACGAGAAATGAAAGAGAAATGAACGAGAATGAACGAGAAAGGAACGAGAAGAAAAGAAACGAAGAGAACGGAAAGAGAACGGAAACGAGAACGGAAAGAGAAATGAAAGAGAAAGGAAGAGAAAGGAACGAGAAAGGAAAGAGAAAGGAAAGAGAAAGGAAAGAACGGAACGAGAAGGAACGAAAGGAAAGAGAAGAACGAGAAGGAACGAGAACGGAACGAGAAACGGAACGAGAACGGAAAGAAACGGAACGAGAACGGAACGAGAACGGAACGAGAAGGAACGAGAAAGGAACGAGAACGGAACGAGAACGGAACGAGAACGAACGAGAACGAGGAAGGAACGAGAACGGAACGAGAACGGAACGAGAACGAACGAACGAACGAACGAACGAACGACGAACAACGAAGAACGAACGAACGACGAACGAACGAAACGAACGAAAACGAACGAACGAACGAACGAACGAACGAACGAACGAACGAAGAACGAACGAACGAACGAACGAACGAACGAACGAACGACAACGAACGAACGAACGAACGAACGAACGAACGAACGAACGAACGAACAACGAACGAACGAACGAAACGAAACAACGAACGAACGACGAACGAACGAACGAACGAACGAAGAACGAACGAACGAACGAACGAACGAACGAACGAAACGAACGAACGAACGAACGAACGAAGAACGAACGAACGAACGAAAACGAACAACGAACGAACGAACGAACGAACGAACGAACGAACGAACGAACGAACGAACGAACGAACGAACAACGAAAACGAACGAACGAACGAACGAACGAACGAACGAACGAACGAACGAACGAACGAACGAACGAACGAACGAACGAACGAACGAACGAACGAAGAACGAAACGAACGAAAACGAACGAACGAAAGAACGAACGAACGAACGAACGAACGAACGAACGAACGAACGAACGAACGAAGAACGAACGAACGAAACGAACGAACGAACGAACGAAACGAACGAAACGAACGAACGAACGAACGAACGAACGAACGAACGAACGAAAACGAACGAACGAACGAACGAACGAACGAAACGAACGAACGAAAACGAACGAACGAACGAACGAACGAACGAACGAAACGAACGAACGAACGAACGAACGAACGAACGAACAAGAACGAACGAACGAAACGAACGAGAACGAAAACGAACGAACGAACGAACGAACGAACGAACGAACGAACGAACGAACAAACGAACGAACGAACGAACGAACGAACGAACGAAGAACGACGAACGACGAACGAAACGAACGAACGAACGAACGAACGAACGAAACGAACGAACGAACGAACGAACGAACGAACGAACGAACGAACGAACGAACGAACGAACGAACGAACGAACGAACGAACGAACGAAACGAACGAACGAACGAACGAACGAACGAAGAACGAACGAACGAACGAACGAACGAACGAACGAACGAACTAACGAACGAAACGAACGAACGAACGAACGAACGAACGAACGAACGAACGAACGAACGAAAAGAAACGAACGAACGAACGAACGAACGAACGAACGAACGAACGAACGAACGAACGAAAAACGAACGAACGAACGAACGAAGAACGAACGAACGAACGAACGAACGAACGAACGAACGAACGAACGAACGAACGAACGAACGAACGAAACGAACGAACGAACGAACGAACGAAAGAACGAACGAACGAACGAACGAACGAACGAACGAACGAACGAACGAACGAACGAACGAACGAACGAACGAACGAACGAAACGAACGAACGAACGAACGAACGAACGAACGAGAACGAACGAACGAAAGAACGAACGAACGAAAACGAACGAACTAAAGAACGAACGAACGAACGAACGAACGAACGAACGAACGTAAGGAACGAACGAACCGAACGAACTAACTAACGAACTGAACGAACGAACGAACGAACGAACGAACGAAACGAACGAACGAACGAACGAACGAACGAACGAACGAACGAACGAACGAACGAACGAACGAACGAACGAACGAACTAACGAACGAACGAACGAACGAACGAACGACGAACGAAACGAACGAACTAAGAACGAACGAACGAACGAACGATACGAACGAAACGTAACTAACTAACTAACTACTAACTAACTAACTAACTAACTAACTAACTACTAACTAACTAACTAACTAACTAACTAACTAACTACTAACTAACTAACTAACTAACTAACTAACTAACTAACTAACTAACTAACTACTAACTAACTAACTAACTAACTAACTAACCTAACTAACTAACTAACTAACTAACTAACTACTAACTAACTAACTGACTAACTGACTAACTGACTAACTAACTAACTAACTAACTAACTAACTAACTAACTAACTAACTAACTAACTAACTAACTAACTAACTAACTAACTAACTAACTAACTACTAACTAACTAACTAACTAACTAACTAACTAACTGACTGACTGACTAACTAACTAACTAATTAACGTTCGTATCAAATGAAAAAGAACTTAATTGAAGATCACTGATCTTAACACTAATTAAAGCAACCCTGAACATATATTACTGACTGCCTCTTTTCTTACAAACACATATTGTTAAAAATAAACTAATTAAAGTGTTTGATTAAGATTTTAGTTAAATTTTATAAGCCTTTAACATTTTTTTAAATTTTTCTAACTTTTTTTGTTGCAAACTAGAGAGAAAAAGTGCATTTAACACGTGCTAAATCTATTTAGCCAGGCATTGCGGATGTAGGCACTTTTTATTTGAATTTAGATGGACGTAATGAAATCAACGCTATACTTAATTTAAAAATAACAATATGATTGCTTAAGTGTCTGTCTGGTGATTTTCAAATTGTTCTATAGTGGTATTATTTTTTTTTTTTGCAAGCATTAGACATTTAAACTATTCATGTAACTAACTAGTGTAGACTTAGTGTGTGTGTTGAAAACTATATGTCCGACAGAAAATGCAATTTCAGACCTAATTAGCACTTTACTATATATATGCATGTGTTGTTGTCCGTCTAACTTGGTTTATATTCTAATACTAATGCTGGAAGCTGATAATAATGATGATATCACTTAAGCCGGAGAGAGAGAGAGAGAGAGTGCAAAGTGAACGGATGCAACACCCACCTCTATGCTTAATAACATGACATACATTTTGTTTAAACTTGAGAGAGTAAATAAATTAAATAAAACACTTTTTGTGCTAAAATGCATTTCTAGTGCAAATCGTTTTATATTGTTGTTTTTTTTTTGTCATCAAACTTTTCCGCCGGTTGTCTTGTTTTTTTTTTTTGGGTTCATTAAATTTTATCATGTTTTTTTTTCAATATTTTTACTAAACTACTAAATTTGATTGTCCACGGTTGTTGCCTAGGCTAGTTTATACACTCAGAAAAATTTTTTTGTAATCAAGTCGGAGCTGGTTAAAAAGTTGGTTAAGTACGTTTATTCTTAAACCAAGTAAATAATACTTGATTTAAGTACGGATGGGTTAAATAGGGAAATCCTTATGTAAGCCTTTTTTGCATCAAAGTGGTCTCACTCTGAACTTATATTGAGAAGTTTCTCTTAGATTTAATTTATATATGTTTTATGATAAAAATAAGATTGATTTGAGTATCCAAAAGATTGAATTAATACCAATATGGGCTTGATTTGAGCACGTTACATACTTGATTTTAGAATTCAATAGATTTCAGCAAAAGTTAAGAAAATCAAACTTAAATTTAATATGTGATTGTTTTTGTCTGTGTATAGTTTGTGATAAGTGTGCTGCCATTGTCTCATCATCATCATCATCATCGTCAGCAACAACTGCAGCTCATTGACTGTGATTTCGAAATAAATCTGTTGTAGAGAACAAATCCAACAAAGATCACGATTTCAGTTTAAAACAATTGTTTTCTAAATTCAATTATCGTTGGCATCACTTTAAAATCGTTTTGGACAAAAAAATTACAATAATAAAAAAAACACACACAGACAGACTATGAAAGAGAGAAGACTCTTATATCACAACTAATTCAACAAAGCACACGTTGACAATGACACTTGCAAAACAAAACAACAACAAAACAAAAAAAAAAGACGACATTGTCATCAAACGTTAGCAGCTCTGAAATCAGGCGAACTTTGCTATTGTAAACCAAAAAAGGGGGTTGTTTGCTAAAGTCCTTTTTATACATGAATCCTTGTTATGTTTGTAACTCCATTGTTGGTTTTTTATTATTATAGTCTTCTTACTGGTAACAGTTTGACTTGCGTTATAGCAATAATTTGAATTTGTTAATTGCCTTAATTTTCTATTTAATTACACATATACAATGACAATCAGTCAGTCAGTCGGCATATGTCTATGTGTCTGCTAAACATTTAAAGGGTTAAAAAGGCGTTTTATTTGCTTCCTTTAATTATCTTCATAGAAAATATATTTTGTATTATTTTAACTTTTTCTATGTGTCAGAGTACGTTTTTGGTACTTTTTAAACAATAACGAAAAGATTTTTTAATTTCGAAAATTCGAACTTAACTTCGAAATTCTAATTTTACATACTAAACTTATATTTAATGGCTGCACTTCGTTTAAATAAGAATCTTTTGAAATTTCTTTTGGAAATTTTCAAATTTTTGAAGTTCGAAAATTCGAAATTAATGTTATCAAATTTCTTTAATTATTCAAAAATCTAATAAAATGTTATTTTTTAATACCAATTCGATTTTGTCACTTTTTTTGGTACTTTTTAAACAATTTCGAAAAGATTTTTTAATTTCGAAAATTCGAACTTAATTTCAAATTTAAAATTTTCTTACTTAACTGATATCTAATGGCTGTATATCGTTAATATAAGAAAATTTAGAAATTTATTTAAGAATTTATCAAGTTTTGGAAGTTCGAAAATCGAAATTTGAATTTTTTTTTAATTTAAAATTCTAATAAAATGTTATTTTTTGATTTTGACACTTTTTACTCAATTTCGAACATTTTCGTCTATAATTTGTCACGTTTTTGAAGTTCGAAAATTCGAACTTTACTTGAATGTTGCAAAATCGACACTTTCTTAATTTAAAATTAGAATAAAATGTAATTTTTATGGTAATTTGTTATCCTATTTCGTTTTTGCCACTTTTTACACAATTTCGAAAATTTTATATTTAATTTCGAAAATTCGAACTAAATTTCGAATTTCCTATATTTATCCATAAATAACATTTAATGACCTCTTATCGTAGAAATATGAAATTTTGGCATTTCCGTCTTTAATTTATTAAGTTTTCGAAGTTCGAAAATTCGAATTTAATTTCAATGTTTCAAAATTGGCACTTTCTTAGTTTGAAATTCGAATAAAATGTAATTTTTATGGCAATTCTTCGTCCTATTTCGATTTTGCCTCTTTTTATACAATTTCGAAAATTTTTATTTAATTTCGAAAATTCGAACTTAATTTCGAATTTCCTATATTTATCCACAAATAACATTTTATGTCTTCTTATTGTCAAACTATGAAATTTTTGCATTTTCCTCTATAATTTATCACATTTTTGAAGTTCGAAAATTCGAACTTAACTTAAATGATGCAAAATCGGCACTTTCTT